CACATAGAGAGAGTTGGCTCATTCGCCTTCTCCAATCGGCTTCCTTTTGTTTACATAAATGAACGCACATGAAATAAATTCATCCGCAACACCGTATTCAGTAGCTTCTTATTACTGGTATCGCATGAACGGTGTTTGCCTACGTATGCTTGCTATACAGAAATGAATAGAAAGATTTATTTCATTGTACACTGGATCATTATTCGTCCATACACTGAAGTTCAGTTGTGAGCTGTTAAATAGACATTAAAATATTTCACGTAATCAACCAAATAGTTGTAACACTGTGGTGCGCGCTACTTATAAGTAGTATATGACGTGAGTGTAAACGTAATGTCTGGCAGCAGAAGATGAGGGAAGATCAAGAAAGTAAGAAGAGTGGGAACACAATGGAATTTATTAGGAAACGCATGAACAGAGTGAAATGTCAGACAATGGATTGAAGATTTGCAAATTAACCGTTTACGATATATGGTTTTCCTATTTTACTACTGAGTAACTCTGTAATTTTCGGTAAATACAATTCAGTTGTCCTCACCTGTGTTCTCGTTCACTACAACACAAGTAATAACGTTCTTTCTTAATCATTTTCTTATATAGTGAAATAAATTCTATGCAATCTCACATATTGAATATTGATAACTAAGATGTGTGTCTACATACAACACATAAAACATAAGTAAATAAATTTACTTTGTTCAAAAAGAAACTACTTATATTTTCACATAAAACTAACTTTTTTTTCTTTGAAAAGTCTAATTAATATATAACGAACGAATTGAACACCCACAATGTTAATTACTTTTCTCTAGTCTAACAAACTTTTGTCACACTCAAGCTAATTAACGGATATTTAACAAATATATATAAATATATATATCGTACACTTGAAATGCAACCCTACACTTATTGATAATTGAATCATTCAACAATAATGAATTGGAATGTTCTGTTCATTCATTTTTTGTTTAAATTTGTTTGTTTTTTTACTGGCGGACAATTCAATTATGATTGTTTTATTTCTTAAGTTAACTTTCTGTCTATTGATGAGAAAAAAATAAAAACTTTTCGTTAGAAAAAAATATTCGAAAAATAAAATATGATAGAGAACATTGGATTAAGATTTCGTCTTTTAATATAGAACTAACTATTCATTGATGTACTCTTCTCTTATCTGCGCAAAGGAGAGGTTGAACCTATAGGACAAGAAGAAATCCCAACTATCCAAATTCAATTAATTAGTCCATGTCTATTTGGAAAATTACAATTTCAATTTGTTTTCAATCTAACGCAACATCATGTACATGTTACAAATTGAAAATAGCAGATTTTACAAAGACTTAGTTGTAAAGTTCAAGTAATGAGGATAATGAAATATGCAGATCTCATTAGATGAAAATTCTAATGAGAATAAAAGACATTAAAATTGTCTACAAAAACAGCCACAAAATACGAATAGTTTTATCGTGAATAATTGTTATGATAATGTTGAGAATCACAATCGATATTAATGAAAATATCTTGTAAAAATAAGAAGAACAGTTATTGGGTAATTAAGAATATACATTACGGGGTTGTGAAGATTGTTAAGTTACACAATTTCGAAACCATGAGTCGATCAGTGTTAGACCATCATGAGAAACCTGGAAGCACTGAGAGACGGCCGTTTCGTCCTGGTATGCGCATCCACCACTCATGCACCTAACAGGATTCGAACCCAGGACCTTCGGTATTGTAGGCGAATGCCTAACAATCGGACCACTGAGCCGGTATCTAACGGTGTTAATGTCTAACTTCCACCAACTCACCGAGTTACGCAACCTCATACACTATCTTCGGTAGTTACTGTCTACACTCGAACAAGTTGAACTTCACTGATCACGTCTTCCCACTAGAAGTCGGAGAAGATTCCTCAGAGGAGCTAGTCATTGGTGAGTAAAGGTAATTTGCATTACGGGGTTGTTGTGAAGATTGTTGAATTACACATTTTTGAAACCATGAGTTCCATACCAGGACGAAACGGCTGTTACCAGATTTCTAATAGTGGTCTACCATTGATCGATTCATGGTTTTAAAAAATGTGTAATTAAGAATATACCATTGAAGAGAGAGAGTTTTTACCGGTCGTTTCATTCATCTATCAATGAATCTTATATATGGAATAGAATTAACTTTTCAAAACTAATTTGTGAATACTTATTAATATTGTAGTGTTAAAGAATTATCACCAGTGTACATCGATTAAAATGGACTAAAGAAACAGGTCAAGCACTGTAATTTCATTTCCATAGCTAATTTATTTAAAAAAAGTTGATCAACAGTATTATAAACTATTTTCCCTACATTGAGATGATGGAGAAAATTTGTAGCTCAGGTGGATGATTGTGGTGGTGTTTCATTCTCTGAGTTGGATGTTTTAGTTGTGGAGCTTTTGTTGTTCTTCTGAACAACGACATCATCAGCACAAGCTTCGGATAGAAGTGAAGCATTCGGATTTCTTCATGTTTGACCTATAGCTTGTTCTGCTAACCTTGATCTTGATTGGTTGCTGTTGACCTTAAACCTGTCGTTGTTTTCACCTTTGTTTTGATTGTATCCTCCTTTTGATCTGTTTCCTGATCCTATGTTTGTCTATGATTTTTCTGATTGGTCAATGTCGATGTATTTGTTGATTGCTGATTGACTTGAGTGCCAGCCAAGCTTCTAAAAATTCTCTAGTGTTCTTTGTCCTTCCTTCATCCAGTGTTTCCATATTGTTCGAATCGAATTTACGTCCATAATTGTCGGTGTGCGACGCGTTATCGTGGAGTTTGACTGCTAATTGATGTTCACGTAAACGAAGTTGAAGAGACTGTCCACTTTGTCCCATGTAGTATTTTTCACAGTCTGAGCAGTCATTTATTTTGTAGATGATAGTTGGTTTTTCTTCCTTTATCATTTTGTCTTTTGGTCTACATACAGGATTGATTGAAGTGATTCTGTCACACCGATCCCAAATGGTTTCACTAGTCGTTCTGTATGCTCGGATATGTCTTTTATGTATGTTAGGATAACCCACTGACTGGTTCCTGTACATGATTTCGCATCAGTTGACAATTTCATTTAATGCTTTTTAATGAAGTTGCGTGGATAGCCGTTCTTTTGGAAGATAGTCATAAGATGCTTTTCCCCATTTTTTAGTGCCTCATATGTACTGTAAGTGTGTCTTCGCTCTCTTAAACAAAGTTCGTATGCAGTTAATTTTGTGTGTTCTTGGGTTATTGCTAACGTAGTTGAGAATTAACTCTGTGTGAGTTGGCTTCCAAAAAAATACTTGAGTCTCCAGTTTTCCTGTGTTAGTCCTGGTGATTCTCTACGTTATTCTTAGGAGTTTTCAAATTCATAATGTTGCTTGAATTCATTAGTTAACTTGAAAATTATTTCATCACACAAGGAAAGATTAAATAGTCGAACATTTTGTAAATACTATTTTTTGTAGTTCTTTCTTTTAAGCATAAACACGATAACAAAATGTTTTTTGATTTATATTTCCGCAAATGACATCCAATCTTTTATATTCATTGAAATATTGTTATGTGTCGAATGTCTGATCTGCTCGAGTTCTTATTCATCATTGGGTCTAGCTGGAAACCCGAATATATGGATTGCTGTTGTAAAGATTTAACATGACATTTACTACGCGAGTCTCGTATAAACTAGCCTTTTAATATGAAACTCATCAGTGGTAGTGCGCATCCACGAATCCTGCATCTCACAGGACTCGAACCCAGGACCTTCTGTCTTGCGCGAGAACGCCTAACCTCACGACCACTGGACCGGCCCACTTACCTTTGGTAGTTACTGTCTACATCCAACAAGGTTGAACTCCCCACTGGTCATATTAGAAATTTTTCATTTCAATTCTATGAACCATGAACTTGTATGTATCAAATAACTATGACTTATCATATATCAAGTCTATATAAATAGAAGAGAGACAATATAGAGTCAATACTACTTACTAATTACTAGGTTGTACACAACATATATACACAAGTACACAAGTTAATTCATTCATAAATTATTTGAAATATACTATAAATTATCGAAAATGGAAGTTTTGTAAAATGATCCAAACTTAACTAAATAATGATGATGAGGACGGTGATGATGATGAACGTGAAATTCATCATAAAGTTCATATATTTTTAACACAGACAATAAAACTGTAACACAATAAAACACAATCAGAACAAAAAAAGATAGAATAACATGTAATAACAACAACAAATTAATGAATATTTTTATTTTTATGTGAAATATAATATCTCTCTTTTAATTATAGCTAACTAATTTTTATTATTTTATAAGTGAGAATTAAAAAATTGGAAAGATGATCTAAACAGGTTGAAGAAGTCTATAG